TTGAGGGATATTTTTGGTTAAGTAATTACATGTAAGTCCATATCCTTTCATTCTTTTAAGCTTTCAGGGGAAAAAAAAGAAGATACAAACAGTAATTCTTGTTCAAATGTGACATCTCAGGTAGCTCTGTCATTTAAAAACAGTTCTACATCCTGTCTCAGGTTCTCTCACACACTGTTCCTGTACATATTTTTGTTTTCTTCTTGTTTCTTAAAGAAATTAGCAGACAGAAGTAGTTTTAAGAATCAAAGCAAACATGAAATATAAGCTGCTTATTCTTAAAGACAATTAAATTAACAAAGCTGACTTTTTCAGATGTGTAATGTAGAGTTGGACATATGGCAGCTATCTATAATCCTTAGGCAGGCCAACCTGAGTTATTTGTTCAGTCATTAGCAAGAGCATCACAAGACGTTCCCTCCTATGCAAGCAAACTGACTCTGAGTATGTGCTATTATGCTAATCCTAATAACATTGCCTTCACAGACAAATCTGCCCAATTTAGATAAATGTATTCACTCCTAATATTCCAGAGCCCAAACCCACAGAGATACTAAACCTTTGCTGTTTCCACTGGGAGTCACTCAGCACCTTATAATTCATGTGCCAGTGATTCAGAGGCAATTTCAACATTTGCTATTTTCTGAAGAACTAAGGCATAGATTTTGCAGAATGAAAAAACCAGAACGTGCTGTTCCAAGTATAAGTCAGATGGTGATCAATGGCTAACTAAATACATGTAATTAATTTTTTGGCATTGTAGGGCAATGGCATGCTAGCAAATCCAGAGAATACTACAATGTAAATGCAAATTGTCATTGGAGAAAAGCGCTGCAATGTTAAAATGAATGACTGAAGCCTGAAACTTGCTGTCAGTTTCCTTATGGTATTTCAAAATTTAAGAAATTCCTAAAGTGGAAAAAAAAATAAACTGGCAATAGTTCAAACCATGTACTCTTGGGAGAAATAAATCTCATCGAGTGTTGCCACTGTATGAGACAAAAAGCAGAAAATGTTTTTAAATTGCTATGCTCATTTCACTAGCAGTGCAGTAATAGTTCACAGTGCAAACTGACAAGGTATTTGCTATATTCCTCATACAGAACACTTGTACAGCTCTTGAAAGGCTGTCTTCAAAAACCTCCTCAGGAGCAGAGTGTCAAAGCACATCAGCAAAGCATACAACAGCACGAGAAACTTAAAACAATCTGAATTAATGGATACAAATTGGAGAATCTTTAACAGAACAGGATAAATCCGCAGCAGCCATCAACAATTTGAAGTGCAAAGAGTCAGCAAGACGTGACTGCGGAAACGAAATGCAGATAACCCAACTCAAGATGTGCTCAGCACTGACTCAGGAAAGAGCCTACAGCCAACCAAATTAACACTGCCACTCCCTTCAGGGCCAGGGAAATTGTACCTGTAACTGGAAGCACTGTTCATTCCTTTTTGTTTTTCCTGAATAATGTGTTCTTTCTTTTCTTCTACCAAAATTCCTGCTCTGCTCCATGATGGGAACACCTTTGGATTTCAGTGGAACTAGGTTGGTTTACACAAGCAGACACACTGACATCTATCTATTTCACCTTTGGCACCAAGAAACAAAAATATTATTGTCAGGGCATGGTCCCACCTTTCATTTATTGATTTCCAGCTATAGAATAGAAATAAAAATAAGCAATAGAAATACAGTAGTGTGTTAACTTGATAACACTCAGGTGCCCACCCTTCTTTGTCCTTTTTCACTACACCACAGCACATGCACAACCTTCTTTCCTTGATTATTGAGGGCTGGGAGTTGAGTATGAAGTGGCAACTCCATTTTTCTTCAAGTTTTACCACTACTCCCATCGCAGTATCCCTTTGGAGCCTTACACTCAGACCAGGATTCAACTGTGCTACACAAAAATGGATATTAAGAATAACGGTCATACAAAAAGAGCTTGTGTTTTTGCAAACTCAAGAATTCAATGTTCTTCACCATTTACGAGCCCATTTCACAGAGAAACTTATCATATTAAATCAAAATCTACTTCTAAATGGCTCTGTTGATTCATTCAGTCTTCAGTGACTTCTAGAGGCCTACAGGAAGAAGCAGGCTACCCTAAATTATATACAATAAGAAAATATTTTTAAAATATATGGAGAATTAGAGTAAGTTTTCACCTACAGGACACTTCCCTGGGACAGCTCAAGGAGAACAGCAATGAAAACAAACCTAATATTGGACATGGCACAGTGGACAGGACATAACCCCATCAACCACCACTCTAACTCCATCCCCTGAGCCTGGGCACTGTGGTGGCTGTTTCAGGGAAAGAATCCACAGGTGGATAACCAACCAGGAGCACCATCAGCACAACACTGTCAAAGGCAAGAACTTTGCACTCCTTAATATTCAACCACCAAATAACATTAAATCAGCAAAGGAGAACAAGCCTTAGACAACACGGCAAGCTATTGCTTGACTTATTGTTATAGCAAACTCGAAAAGACTACCTGCTTCATCCTCATGCTCAAAGAGATCAAAAAATCACTCTACTAATTCCCAAAAAACACTCCAAAATTGCCCAGTTTACTGCTTCAAGGATAATATTAGTCTCCTAAAGATCTGCAGATGAGGAACCTTTTTAGGGGGGTTCTAATGCTTCCAACTGAAGAGTTCCCGGGTCTCTTCAAAACCATCAGCCTGCTCTCATGCTCCTCTCCTGGAAACATTTCTCCAACAAAGCCAAATTTCTTGCATAGCACAGAAAGCATAAAGCGCAGCCCAGCTAATGCTCCTCTGATCAGCTGACACAGCACTAGACAATATCCCAACATCTCACAGCATAAAACCCGGTCTTGGGTCTTCAGAAAAAAAAAAGAAGTTCTTTCTTCAGTATTTCAGCTGAAAGACATCACCAAGCTCATCTCGCCCAGACAACTCAGTCTTCAAGAGCTAACAAGGTCTTGCAATAATGGACATAGCTATAAGCACCAACACAGTCCTAAACAGGCCCAGGTTCTTTGTAAACTACTACTACAATCTTAATTGCTTGCATCCCTGCATATATAGGTTACACCTTTGCTGCCTACCTTGGAAAACAAGACTTTCTCCCTGCCTCCACCATAAATTCCAGAGCCCCCATACCCCCTTCAAATTGTTTTTAGAACATTCCTACACAATGTACTTTTTCTAGACATCACAGGCAGCATGATATTATCACAGACGGTACCAAAACTGTTAACTGCAAGCTATAGCAAAAAAAAACTCAAGATCAGCTGCCTTGCTTCCAGGCAAAAAGCACTCACGTGAAACATAAAAACTACCCACTCCAACATCAGCATATTTCTGGTGATTTTCTGGAACACAAGAACTCCTCTCCATCCACCCTTCTCTAAACTGTTCATATCATATCCACAGGCAAGAAGTGACCCGGCTCTTGCCCTCCCTTATAAAATTAGGCAGTTGTCACCTCTCCTCCCTTCTAACATTGCAGAGTGGAATCAAGTCCCTGTTCTCCATGTGGTTTAGCTGCTACATATCTAATTAAACCCAGAAAAGCACACTCAACTTATTTTTACCTTTGAATTTTTCTGTTTCTATTGCAGACCAAAAGATCAACTCATGGTCAAAAGCCTGTGTACTTTTCCTAACTGTAACTCTTGGTCCAATAAACAGTAAATTTGGTTTCATGTTTTGTTTTCACTTGAACTTTTTGTTGTTGTTTTCTCACTTGATTTTCTGTCCTAGGACATTTCTAACTTTCCCCCATCAACTCCTTGTATGAAAGACAAATTCCTATAATATTAATTTTATTTTGCTTAACTTCTATTTTTTGTTGTTGCTGTTGCTCACGTTTGATCATTACAGCAATTCAGTTGCAGACAGACTCAACAAGATCTGATTTTATTCTAAAACAGACTATAGTCAGTAGGAAGAGAAAATATATGATACTTACTTAAGTGGACAACTGACATAGACTGAACATTGTTAGTGCTTAACACAAAATCATATTTATTCTTTAGAACCAATTTTAAAGTAACATTTAGCCCTCTACTGCTTAAGATATGAAGTACTTGATACTTTAGATTAATCTTTGGACTCTTGTGTTCTCTAAGTATACTAAAGGTTGGATGTGACAGACGGAGGACTAAGGATGTGTTGCTAATTGTTGTCACACTGCCAATTATAGTGCCCATGTCAATGATCCATGGAGGTCTGCTTCCCTAAGTTACAAGACCCCATTGTTTTCCCATTGCCTCTAACTACAAGGTAACACACACTACATCAAAGTCAGAAAACAGCAGTGATAAAAGCAACAGATGCAATTAGGTTTCACCTCGGATCAATTTATAAAGATATAAATGTCCCACAATTAAGCAGGCAACAAATGCCCTCACAGAGCCATTTAAACACATGCCACTTCAATTGAAATTAAAGAGCCATTTCTAAAAATGCAGCCATAAGCCAAAGAAAATGTTGTAACCTTTGACCATCATTTCAAATTCCATAAACCTTTTGTATTATTGAGAAGAGATAAAAATTTGTCTTTTGTTTCTATTTTTCACATCATTGCAACACCTCTTTCAAAAACAAAAGAAACATTTGGTAGTTACCTCGATACAAAAGGCTTCCGTTCCCAATGCTTTAGAATGCTAGCGGATGTGACCACTTTCTGTATAGCTCTCAGTGACTTTTACTGTACAAAGACTAAAATTACAGGGTTTACTCAGGATATAATTTGCACTGCCTCTGGAAATAGTGCCACAGTTGTCAGTTATAGTAAGATCTTTCTCCTGCTTTCTTGCTAGTTGCATTTTGCTATGTGGAGAAAAACCCTGTGCTAACACTCGCACCAGCAGCAGAATTTATTAGGCTCCTTTTGCCTCAGGATGTCTGTTGCCTGACTCTTATTTGTGCAATTTTAGACAATGTCTGTGATTAGCAAACTGTGAAGAAATGCAAGAGGCAAATCCTATTTAAAAGCATAAGAGAAACTGCTGATACTCACCAAACTATTCCCTGAGCCCCAGAGCCAATAGGTTTCAAGTTCTGGTAGCGTTTGAGAACTGTGAAGGTCGAGTCACCTACTTCCACACTGTAGAACTGGTTGTCAACTTTGCTTTTGCTCATGTTGTAATGTTTGGCAATATATGACACATCCACTTGTTTCCCAAATCCCTGTTGTACAGAAAAAGGGAAGGGGAGAGGGAGGGAAAGACATAGAAACGAAAGCTGGTAAAACATCAGAATATTGATGAAACACAGTCAGCCTAGTTTTCAAATATAAATTCTTGTCATTTTAGGCTCATTGTCAGAGATCTGCATGAATCCTCAAATGCTTTCAAAGATGGTGTCAAAGCCTCTTTCTCCCAGGAAGATACCATAAAAACCCACTGATTGAAGGCAGCTGGTGAATTCTCCAGCTGATGGGGGGGGACACAGTTACTCTCAGCTACTGGTCTGCACTTGCCATTGCTTTGTGACTGCTGGCTTGTGTGTTTGTGCTGATTCTGCCCTTATTTGTATAGCAATAAATACATTATCTTAGAACGAGCGGACTTGTATCAGTATGGAAGTGAACAACAGATACAGAAATCAGACTCTTCATTATTTGTCTGATATAGTTAAATACTATTAACTCTACATTATTGTCAAATAAGCTTGTTGAGATGAGTAGTAAAACTTTCTCTTAGTGTATGATAAAGGCCTTGAGAGCCTTTCAAAAGGAGCTGCAAAATAAAACAGATCAGTTGATGAGAGAATTGTGACCTGACCTGGTTCCTGGACAGTATTCAGTAGCTCAGGGGATCCTCAAGTTCTGCATTTCTAGGGATAGGAGAGTTGTTCTCATGATCTTACAAATGTGTTAGTTCCCAGAGAAGACTAATTTTCATCAAACAAACACAAGTTACTGCAAACTTTTTGTGCTTGCATAGCAGCTACCACTGCAGAGCAGTAACCTTCCTTGTACTTGGTGAATTATTATGCAAAAAGTTCCATTATAACCTTTTTACCACTGCCAGTAAGCTCCGTTCACTGAAGATTATGGAGTAAAGTATGAAGAAACTTTTAATTACATTAAATTATGTAATGACGAGATAAAATTCAGAATTTAGCAGTTCAGTTTAGGATTTTATACTATATGATGCTGAGCAGAGGCTGCAGAAGTTCAACCTGTTACAGACTTGCCCTGAAGTAGCTGATGATTCATCCCCCAAGTAAATGTTTTCCCGATGTACAATGTTTTCTCTGAGGAGGAGCTGAGCCCAAATGTACACATCTTCTGCTGCATATGCCTCTCTGTCTGTGCATACATTTCAGCGCTCACAAATGCTGCTTCTCCATTTTCTTTCTTGCTCTATTACAAATTGATTTTCCAAAAGGGCTGAAAAATCAGCCATGCTGCATGGCTAAACAATACCAAATTGAATTTTGATGGCAAAGAAAAATGAAAAGTTCCTTTGGAGAATATTACTTTTTCGTTGTAAAATGACATAATTCTAATGTCCCATGAAGCTGGTCATTAAAAACAGAAAATTTATTCTGCCAAGAACTCAGGCTCTCAGGTTCACCTTATGACTGCTAATATCCTTTTTCTGTCACTTATCTGACTTGAGCACTTGCTGTCACTGGACAGCATTGGTTAAACCTAACCATCTCATTTAGAGACTTGAAAACATTCTAACAAACGTAGCTGTTCATTCAGACAGAAAATCTCATTTCAGAAGAGCAATTAGAAACATTATATTTACTCATGAAGCAGACACAGGGCAAAGGATTCCCTATGCCAGCCCCCAAATGCAGAAAAAGGAGGCACATGGACACCGAGCCAGTGCTAAGTTCAGGGCTAAAGAGTGGAGTAAGTCTGAAAGAGGTATGAAATATTCCCATCCGATGAACAAAAATATGCATCTCATTTGCACTTGTGTAACCTTAGTCTTAAAACTCCTTCCACTATGTGAAGACAGATGCATAAATCTGGCCAGCTCAGCTGCTCACAGACCTGGCATTGAGAGGCTTAATTTTAATAATATGCAGGAATTAATTCCCGCTCTCCCTTGCCAGACCAACATATTTGCAGTGTTTTGTTCTGATGCCATTATCAGGGCGATGCAGACAATAGTCAACATTAGCACCCGCTACTCCGAAACCAATGTTATGTAAATATCAGCATAATTATGGCAATTCCTTCCTGAGCACGAAGCACAGCCAGCTCCTCCGGAGGTACAGACAGCATGGCTTTCTCAAAGCAGGCAGAGGACCAGACTTTGGCCTGGGAGAGCCAGGCCAGCCAACAGCACAGAGGCTGTACTGGTGGAGAGGATGTGGAAGGCCGCAGCCAGTGAGAGCACAAAGGAAGTAGTTTTGGTTGTTTTTTAAAAAAGAAACTTTTTCTAAAAAAAAAAAACAACCAGGGTGGTAAGGAGCTTTGGTAGATGAGAACAACACCAAGAATTACTTAGAAAGTTCAAGGCAGGATGATTTAGTTGTAAGTTCACTCCAAGCAAAACACCTCTGGCGAGCAAGGCAGGCTTCAGCTCCAGGGCCAGGCCAATCTGTCTTCAGGTCAGCTACTGATTTGCTTCCTGCTTTTAAAACCACACTGGTAACAAAATGTAGCAAAAATACTCTATTTTGCTGATGTATATTAAAGAGAAAATAAGCAAAATTAAAACACAGTAAGCCTACTGCCTAAGCCCGAAGTACTGCTTGCTTCTATAAGAACGGTGGGATGATGATATAATTATCCTTGTCACGATCGTAATTTAAATCAAATCCCTAAACCAATGAATTAACAGCGTTAGTGGATTAATCACATTTGAGCACATCTCCAACCGAGACAACATGTAATCAAATCACAAACCATCTCCGAGTCAATACAAAAGTCACTTCCTAAACACCAACAAGGAAATGACAGTTTTGTTTTACCCAAAGTGCAGCTAAAACGGCTTTACCCTAAAGCAAGGAAATTCATGCTCGTAGCAGAGCATGTCAGTGTCAGTTTTCATTTCAAATCCTGATTAAAAAAGTCTTCTCCAAGTCTTCAAATCCATGTTGCTGCTCTCAAGGCAACATGGACAGCACACTTGGGGGTCTTTCTGTTCCAGTCCCAGTGCCCACCGCGGCCCTTCCACATGTGGGAATAAAAATGTTGGTATTGCACAGTTTCATTGTTTAGAGGGCAGGAATGTGGTATTGAGATATGCTTGCAGTGATAAGAAAGCTTAACAGACAACCTTATAAAATGCAGACAACCAGAATCCTTAGAGCAATTAGGCAGAAATCACTGTGTAAGAAACATCACCACCTCAAAGAGTATAGAAGTCAAAAGAAATTTGGCTTATAACAGGCCGGCAACTGGAAGTCATGTATTGTCTGTGAAGCACCGGATAGATTGTGAACCTGGATTACCCAGTCAATGGGGAAGCAGTGGAGGGTCCCGGTCATCAAGATCTCACCCACAGATCTCAGTGCTGGCACAGCAGTTAACGGGCTCCTTTCCTTACAGCCTCCCCCTGCCCTCTTTCACTACACACCACAAATGACACCCAAATCAGGTTTTCCTCTGCAATGCTTACAAACTCTGTACTGGTGGCTTAAGTTAAAACTTCGATTATCTGGCAGCAGAACAGGAGTTCTTAGCATAAACTCTTCTGTACACAAACTTAAAACACAACCTGCTTTTGTAGCTGGCTGATACTGTCACCTTAAGAAACCAGAAATTAGCACTTCATTAAGAATTACCTGGAGAAAAGAAAGGTGCTTATACACTTGCCAGTTGGGTTTACTTCAGAAGTCACATTGCTGATGGACAGGTCTTGCAAAGGTCTTCTAGAAATTTCATCACAGTTCATAAATGTTCAGGTGAACTTGAAATGAACTTGGGCAAGTTGCAGGACTGGGACTCCAACATAGCAGTAAACATTGCAGGTGTGATTAAATTATCAAGTGCAAAAGTCTCCATCCTTTTCACTTGGAACAAACCCTAACAAGTTTCACAGACCTCTATGCGACATGAAAAATTATTGCTGACAGACAGACAAATGATGCATTTGAGTATCATTATTTCATGGCTGCCACAGACATTTGGACAAGGGAATTACAGTCTGAACACTAACCAGACTTTAACTTTCTTTTCCCATGTACAGGAACGCACACACCATTTTCTTTGACCAGTAACAAAGCTTGTAACACGTACCTAATGCTATCCTCCTTCCTCTGCACTGGGAAACTTGAGAGTAAGAGAGGGAAACAAGTTTTTCAGACCCGACACGATAGCCATCTGAGCTGGGTCAGTTAACTGGATAGCCGTATCCACAGTTACTTGCCTCATATCCCAGCCACTTGGGAGGGCAGGAAACCAACTGTTAAGACTTAAGGGTTTGAGGTGAAGGAAAATGACACTTTCACCATAATTAAATGCCTAGAGAACATGTATCTTGTTTTCAGAGAACAATTATTTAAAAATTCAGTCCAACTCAACTTACTGCCTGAAGCACAGCTACAAGCTGCATATTTTTGCTTTTTTTGTTTTGTTTTACAGCATGGAGAAGGGTAGAAAGCACAACAGAATAATGCTATTGCTTCCTCTGTTCTGAGGGGAATTATTTCCTGATACTGTCCCTGTTTATTTATCAATTTCTACCCCACAAAAGCAGTATATGGGCTGTTTTTCATTGATGGATATTTGTTTCTGAACACCATTCCTCCCATTATTAATAAGCTGAAAATACTGTGACTTCTTACAGCTCTAAGTCTCACATACACATTAGCTTTTACAAATACAAGCCATTTAGCTTAAACTGCCACATTAGCATGGTTCTCCTTGCACTTCACAGACAATCAGAGCTGTATGAAGGTATGGTAATAAAAATCAGCTTAGGGGAAACTTCCCCTCAATATTAGTATCCATCCCTGCACGTCCAGACAATTATATGTCCAGGCAGGCCCTGCTCACCTCTGTGCATCTGTAAAGCCAACAGACCTATTTTACTGCTGTCCTCCCACTTACATGGCTGTAATGCTCTCAGAAGATTCAAGTGCCAGAATTGTGGGATTAATGGGCATTTGCTGAACCTCTGCTTTGTATATAATGGTCATAGGTTTTGCGAGATACAACTGGAACACCACAGAAGCTCACATTTTAGAAATATCAAGTTCCTTTGCATAGAAAACCC